CTATTTCGTAACCAAGCAAGTTGTTTGTTCGGGCGTCAGTCCTGAACCCAAATCACCTCAATCTAATGGGTCGATCGAGCTCTGTATATTCTTTGGTCTATCTAACCACTCCCCTCTCAATTTTAAGATTATACAATAGATTTATCTCATGGTGATCAAACACGAAATACTAAAACAAGAATATAGAAGTAACTTGTGTTGACAACCAAGAATTAATTCAAAAATCAAATAATATTTAACATTCAATTTGTAGCGGAAGCCCTAGAACTAGGGCGATTAGCTACTTATAATATTCAAAGACCACAAAAGACAAGTTCATGCGATTTCCAAAAAATAAAAAGAGTTAGAAGATTAAAACCTATTGCAAACTTGGATTCTTGATGTTGCATACTAATAAAAAAGTTGAATCCTAACAATGAGGTCCTAAGGGTCTATTTATAGTAAATAAGAAAATAAAGTCGAATTCAACTTCAGTTAGGAGTCCTTTTAAAATCAGCTTTCTTTCCAAACTCCGCACAAAGCTGGGCGCGCCGCGCTGCCAGTTTGCCTTAAATAATCTGTAGTCAAAATGGCATGGCGCGTCGCACCCTTGATACGCTAGGTGCGCCAGTATCTTCTCAAGCAGCGTCTTTTCGCCTTTAACTTTTTTTCCTTCCAACACTCGAACATTTCCCTTAGTAACTTGAAAAGTCACTAATCATGTATATTAATGTGCAATCATTGCAATCTTCAGCTAAAACAAGCTAGTGAGGTTAGATAATGTCCTAAACTAACGTTAAAGATGAGTAATTTGTCATAATTGGGCATATATATATGCTCAAAATCACCACCCCACACTTAAACATTTGTTAGTCCTGGAACAACTCTATCTTATCATTATATGCTCTTAACCCTTTGGAATCTTCACCTAACTTCACAATCGACTAAATATATTTAATCATGACTTTGTTACACACTTTATCCACTTTCAACTATTCTTTACAGTCTACCACTCAAACAATTCACAACCTCGATGCCTGACTTTTCTCAAATAATTGTAGGCTAATGTAACATCATACAGACATACCACAAGATTAAGCACCAAAAATGTTTCGTTAATGCCCTCACTAATATAATTGTAACCTTTATTTTACCACCAACAATCAATTGATTCATTATAGTATAAGACCATTTTTTATAACATGATCTCTCACTCCCAATTGAAGTTCTACAATGTCCTAACATGCCATAAGCTTGCCCTTAGTGTACTTCTAGTTTTCACAAAATGTTTAGATGGAATCAAGAGTAATTTCATTCGGTTGTAATGTTAACTCTGGGTAAGGAAGGATGTATTTGGGTAAACTTTAGTGACTCATTCTCCCTAATGCACATGTGTTGTTTTTCCTTACTAACATTTTCAACTTTTTCTTTCCCTATTACATGTTTTCCACTTTACTTCAGTTTGTACTTGAGCCCCTTCTTTTTGAACATCCCTTTTTGTACATCCATCTTTATTTTTATCTTTTTTTTAAGCATTTGGGGTCTCATTTGTGTACCTTTTCTTTTCTTTTATTCTCCACAAACTACTACCACCCTATTTATTTCAACCAAAGTTGTCATTTTTCAACTCAACATAGTGCCTTAGAGATTTATTTTGGATCAAACAAATGGTATCAAGAAAAGCTATTTGTCTACATTAAGTGGTTTAGAACAAAGTAATGTTACAAGGCTCAAAGTCTACACTAGGGATGTTTTATTTGGAAGCATACAAAGGACATTCAAACTTGGCTATTCAAAGACACACCTCAATCACATTCCACAATTCACACAAGTTATTCATTAAGCACACATGGGGCAAGTTCTATATGTTATTCAATGCAAGACTAACAAATATTCTCACACATAGCATCACTTCACACATAAGGGCTCAACTTATAGCATGTTCACATATAATGCATTACGGTGTGTCCACACAATAAAGCCCATTTTCTTTATTTTCACTTAGAGTCAACACAAAGAGATTATGCTTGTTTTCATGGTTAATATCTCACTGATGCACATGAAGTTCCGTCACCCATGACGTCTACCCAACCATTCATACAAGGTTTCAAAGTGCCAAAGATATGGGTTTCATACTTTTACTCTTAATGACTAATTTACCCTTAAGATGATCGTCATCCATCTATCATTGGGAAACGTCATTTCTAGACGACTCTAAGACTCGATAAAGTAATAAACTAGACCTGAATGGTTCAAAGGGGCTGTCCTCGGGAAAAGAACTTATAACAAAATGTAAGGAACCCTACTAAAAATCAAAAAGACTCGATAAAGCAATAAATTATATACAATGAAGTTCAACTTCCACCCCACACTTAAACAATACACTGTCCCCAGTGTTCAAAAGTAAAATGAAGGGCAAAGGTAAAAGAGAACTATCCGTCGGCCTCTAGGTTGCGTTCGAAGCATCATCTCCGGTATCAATGGCCTCGAACTTATCCTCCGCCAAGCCATCATCCTCATCAGTGTCATCATCATCGATGGGTTCTTGGAACGCCGGACCCATTCTGCACATGTGCATCACACTATCTGTCAACGGGTCAACTAGTGTGTCCATCTCCTCCTTAGTCATAGGGCGACCACCTATACACAACTGCAATTCCTCTATGCCAAACATGCGCCCCATACAACTACCATCACGAGTTTGTCTATCGATAACAGTCAAAATAGTCTCGTGGGAGGGATCATGCGCTTTGGTGCGCATGGAATCAACTGGGTGGAAATACCAGATGGGGGGCACGGGGAGGGCAGACATCATGAACTTCCTCCTCAATAATAATGCTCTTAGATAACTAGTGATGATGCTGCAATAACAGAAACACCATCGCTTGTTGGTCCTAAATTTTAGCATATTCTTCCTTAAAATAGCCCCCACATAGCCCTTCATTAACCGATATATGAGCACTACTCCATTCCATGTAATATCGGTCATGTGTTTCCTCCTAAGTGAAGTATTACATATAATCTTCAACCAAATCCTAGACTCTATGTTATGATGTCCATAGTGAAGTGTCAAGTGACGACCCGTGTCCCACTCTATCCCACATAGCAATATAAGTCAACCCACACAATGTATGACGTATATCACGATACAGGGGTTGTTCAACCATGGCTACAAACTCAGCACGGTCACAATTTGGGGCATCCAAAAAGTCATTTAGAGCTTCAATAGAAAAATGCACCCCACTATTTCTAACATACCCACTGTTTATCTCAACCCGACGAGTATTCCAATTAGCATAAAATTCACATACCAAACTCAAATTACACTTACCTTGATTTACAAAAGCAAATTAAAGTCCCAACACAGTGATTTTGGCGTGAATGTTGGGAAATTCACGGCGTAATTTATCTTCCTCCACGTACTCATCGCCGAGGTACTTAGATTTTTTTTGGTCCTTGTACCAATATGTGACATAATGCATAACCATTTGCTACCAAACTTGAGTGGTGGCAAATTAGGGTCTTCCCGACTTGAACTTCGGGCAACCACCCCTTTCCTAGTCCTTTTTATTCCCAAACCACTAGCTACCTTTTCACCTTTTGAAGCCATCACAAAACCCAAGAAAAGGAAGAACTAGGAAAAGCAAAGAAAGAGGAAAATTTGGAAAAAATGGAGGGGTTTCCGGTTGGGTTTCTTGTTTGGTTTGTGAGATTTGGTGGATTGGGGTGGTTGTGGTGGTAGATTGTAGAAAAAAAATAGAAAGTTTTGGCAAGAAAAATGGAGTAATTTCATTTTTGTGGGTGAGAAGATGGGGGAAAGAAATAAAAAAGGAGAAGAAAGATGTTTGAGGAAAATTAAGTGAATGGGGGGGGGGGTGGAACGGTTATAGAGGGGTAATTTTGGGAATTGGGGAATTTTAATAGGTAGTTGGGACGGTGGGAAGGTTGGGATATTTTGTGGGTCCCACGGATAAAAATTAACTTTTCAGAATTTTCTTTTTTTGTAGATCGGAGGTAGCACGCTAGATTTGCTCCTGGAAAGTACTCACGTGGAACTCCAGCCGTGTGCTCCAAACAGAACCCAGTCGAAAAAGGCCTGGTGCGGCACACCAGCAGTGCGCCTGAGCCTTTGGCACGGCACGCTGATAGTGCAAAACAAACAAGCCTCAGTCAAAAGGATCCTGGTGTGGTGCGCATGCTATGCACTACAAACGTGCCTCGATTAAAAGGGGCCTGGCGCAGTGCACCTGCCGTTCGCCACAAACAAGCCTCAGTTAAAAGGGTTCTGACGCGACGCGCCTGCCATTGGCGTTCTGCTTTCTTTGTGATGTGTTTGGGGTGTGCTACGTTGCTAATTTGCTAAAAATCATCTCTAAACTAATCACTTGGCATGACATGTTAGATTATTTGCCCACACTGTATTCCTCAACATAATTCCTCTAATTTTGGGTACCTCCTTCTCCTTTTTCCTACACATCAATCGAACAACGTGACATAACAATAGTGGGTTGCCTCCCACCTAGTGCCTTAGTTTTGGTCGTGACACGACTCATATTTTTGAATTATTTTTCTTAATTATATCTAAGGACCTATTTTAACTAACAAATAAGAAAATTTAAAAAGTCTATGCATAAGAAACTAAGCTAAATTTACCAAATTAAGCCTAACTACTACCTATTACATCGACTTCATGGGTTGCCTCCCAAGTAGCGCTTGGCTTAACATCACAACACAACACAACTTAGATAATTCATCATTTATCTCAATATCCTCCCAATCATGATCTGAATCAACACCAAAGTAGTGTTTCACTCTTTGCCCATTCACCAAGAACGTAGGTGCAATCTCTCCTTTTAGTTCCACAGCCCCGTGTGGTGTCATTCTTACCACTTCAAAAGGTCTACCCATTTTGTCCTTAGTTTTAATGGGAATAACCTAAGTCTAGAGTTAAAGAGTAGTACCTTCTCTCCCAGATTGAAGGTACGAGTTACTATGTGCTTATTATGCCACCTCTTCGTCTTCTATTTATACAGCTTGAAATTCTCATACGCGTGACGTTTAAACTCTTCAAGTTCATGCCAATTATCGACTCTCTTTCTATCGGCTAGTTCAGGGTCCAAGTTCAACTTCTTAATCGCCCAATAAGCTTTGTTTTCTAATTCTGCCGGAAGATGACATGGTTTCCCAAATATGATGTAATAGGGAGAAGTCCCTATGGGTGTCTTATAAGCAGTCCTATACGCACAAAATGTGTCGTCTAATTTCTTAGACCAATCTTTCCTTTGCGGATTCACCATCTTCTGCAAGATTTGCTTTACTTCTCTATTAGATACCTCCATTGGACCACTTGTTTGCGGATGGTACGAAGTAGCAACCTTATGAAGAATTCCATACTTAGCATGCCACGCCCGATGTTGCCGACCGTGTGCGCAGTCCAAGGGCGGTGATGTCATTCCATGACCGACGTCGTCCAACTGTGCGTGAAGTCCAACGGCAGTGATGTTAAGCCACGCCCGACGTTGTTCGACCGTGTGTGCTTTCCAAAGACGGTGATGGCATGTCACGCCTGAAGTCGTTCGACCGTGTTTGCCGTCCAAAGGCTATGATGGCATCCCACGCCCGACGTTGTTCGACCGTGTGTGCTTCCCAAAGGTGATGATGTCATCCCCCATCCGACGTCATTCAACTCTTTTTGTTGTTCAAAGGCGGTGATGCCATGCCACACCTGAGGTAGTCCGACCGTGTGTGCTGTCCCATGGCGGTGATGTCATCCCACACCCGACGTTGCGGACCGTGTGTGCTGTACAAGGGCGGTGATGCCATGCCACGCCCAACATTACCGACCGTGTGTGCTGTCCAAGGGGGGTGATGTCGGGCCACGCCTGACGTTGCCGAGCGTGTGTGCTGTTTAAGGGAGGTGATGTCATGCCATGCCCGACGTCGTCCAACCATGTGTGCTGTCCAAAGGCGGTGATGGCATGTCACGTCCTACGTCGTTCGACCGTGTGTGCTGTCCAAAGGCAGTGATGTCATGTCACGCCCAACGTCGTTCGACCGTGGGTGCTGCCCAAAGGCGATGATGGCATGCCACACCCAACGTCGTTCGACATGTATGTTGTCCAAGGGCGGTGATGTCATGCCATGCCCAACGTTGCACACCGTGTGTGCAGCCAAAGGGCGGTGATGTCATGCCACGCCCGACGTCGTCCAACTGTGTGTGCTGTCCAAGGTTGGTGATGGCATGCCACGCCCGACGTTGCTAACCGTGTGTGCTGTCCAAAGGCGCTGACGACATATCACACCCGACATTGCTGACCGTGTGTGCTGTCCAAGGGCGGTGATGTCATGCCACGCCCGACGTCATTCGACCGTGTGTGCTGTCCAAGGGCGGTGATGTCATGCCACGCCCGACGTTGTCTGACCTTCTGTGCTATCCAAGGGTGGTGATGGCATGCCACGCCCGACGTTGCCGATCGTGTGAGATGTCCAAGGGCGGTGATGTCATGCCACGCCTGACGTCGTTCAACTGTGCATGCAGTCTAAGGGCTGTGATGTCAAGCCACGCCCGACATCGTTCGACCGTGTGTGCTGTCCAAAGGCGGTGATGGCATGTCACGCCTGACATCGTTAGACCGTGTTTGCCGTCCAAGGGCTATGAAGGCATGCCCCGCTCGACAACAATCGAACGTATGTGCTGTCCAACGGCAGTGATGTTATGCCACGCCTGCCGTAATTCAACCGTGTGTGCTGCCCAAGGGCAGTGATTTCATGACACTTCCGACGTCGTTCGACCGTGTGTATCGTCCAAGGGCAGTGATGTCATGCCACGCCCGATGTTGCCGATTGTTTGTGTTGTCCAAGTGAGGTGATGTCATATCATGCCCGACGTTGCCGACTGTGTGTGCTGTCCAAGGGCGTTCATGTCATGCCACGCCCAACGTCGTCTGACCGTGCGTGCAGTCCCAGGGCGGTGATGTCATGCCACTCCCGACATTGCCGACCGTGTGTGCTGTCCAAGGGCGGTAATGTCATACCACGCCCGACATCGTCCGACCATGCGTGCAGTCCTAGGGCAGTGAAATAAAGTCACACCCAATGTTTTTTGACCGTGTGTTGTGTCCAAATAGAGTGATGGCATGTCACGCCCTATGTCGTTTGACCGTAAGTGTTATCCAAAGGCGTTGATGTCATGTCACGCCCAACGTCGTTCGACCGTGTGTGATTCCTAAATGCGATGATGGCATGCCACGCCCGACATTATTCGACTATGTGTGCTGTCTAAGGGCGGTGATGTCATACCATGCCCGACGTCGTCCGACCGTGCGTGCAGTCCAAGGGCGGTGATGTAGAGCCACACCCGACATTTTTCGACCGTGTGTGCTGTCCAAAGGTGGTGATAGCATGTCACGCCCGACATCGTTTGACCATAAGTGTTGTTCAAAGGCGTTTATGACATGCCACGCCCAACATCGTTCGACCGTGTGTGCTTCCCAAAGGTGATGATGGCATTAACCGCCCGACGTCATTCGACCGTGTGTGCCGTCTAAGGGCAGTGATGTCATACCACGCCCAATGTCGTTCGACCGTGTGTGTTGTCCAAAGGCGGTGATGGCATGTAATGCCTGACATCGTCCGACCGTGTTTGCCGTCCAAGGGCTATGATGGCATGCAACACCCGACGTCGTTTGACCGTTTGTGCTGCCAAAAGGCGATGATGGCATGCCACGCCCTACGTCGTTCGACCGTGTGTGCTGTCCAAAGGCGGTGATGTTATGCCACGCCCGATGTCGTCCGACCGTGTGTGCTGTCCAAGGGCAGTGATGTCATGCCAAGCCCGACATTGCCGATAGTGTGTGCTGTCCAAGGGCGGTGATGTCATGCCACGCCCAACGTCGTCCAACCGTGCATGCAGTCCAAGGGCGGTGATTTCAATCCATGCCCGACGTTGTTAAACGTGTGTGCTGTCCAAAGGCGGTGATTTTGTGCCACGACCAACGTCGTTTGACCGTTTGTGCTGTCCAAGGCCGGTGATGTCATGCCACGCCCAATGTCGTCCGACCGTCCGTGAAGTCCTAGGGTGGTGATCTCATGCCATGCCCGACATCGTCCGACCGTGTGTGTTTTCCAAGGGCGGTGATGGCATGCCACGCCCGACGTTGCCGACCATGTGTGCTGTCCAAGGGCGGTGATGTCATGCCACGCCCGACGTTGCCGACCGTGTGTGCTGTCAAAGGGCGGTGATGTCATGACACGCTCGACGTCATTTGACCGTGTGTGCTATCCAAGGGAGGTGATCTCCTGACACGCCCAACGTCGTTCGACCGTGTGTGCTGCCCAACGGTGATGATGGCATGCCACACCCGATGTCGTTTTACCGAGTGTGTTGTCCAATGGCGGTGATGGTATGTCACACCCGACGTCGTTCGACCGTGTGTGCTGTCCAAAGGCGGTGATGTCATGCCACGCCCAACATCGTTTGTTCATGTGTGCTGCTCATTGGCGATGATGGATTGCCACACCCGACGTCATTCGACCGTGTGAGCTGTCCAAAGGCGGTGATGTCATGTCATGCCCGAAGTAGTCCGAACGCATGTGTTGCCCAAGGGCGGTGATGTCATGCCACACCCGACGTCATTCGGCCGTGTGTGCTTTCCAAGGGCGGTGATGTCAAGCCACGCCCGACGTCATCCGACAGTGTGTGCAGTCCAAGGGAGGTGATGTCATGCCACGCCCGATGTCATTCAGCCGTGTGTGCTGCCCAACGGCGATGATATTATG